GGGGGGGGGGGGGCTAAAACACTGCTTCAGGGAAAAGGGGGGGGGGGGGGGTTTTAATACCCCTTCCGGGAAAAGGGGGGGGGGGGGGGTTTTAATACCACTTCCGAGTAAATGGGGGGGTGGGAGATACCCAGGGAGCAAGCTGGAGGGCATACTGGTCCCGGCGTGATGTAGAGCAGGGCGACCACGCCCAGACGCAGGATCCGAGTCACCTGACCACCTTGTGCGTCACAAGGGCCCCCCCCCGCAAGCACACACAAACCCCCCCACAGAGCGACAGGCAGCATCCACCCAGACAGTTTGCTCACCTACTTTCGACATTTCATTCAGCCTGTATTTACATCCCCCCATTACAGCGTGTGAGGAAAAGGGAGAAAACAGACCATGTGCGTGCGTGAGTGAGCGCATGTGTGCGTGAGTGAGCGAGTGTGGCATACTGGCAGGGGATCAGTCAGGACTGGATCGGGGGGGGGGTTCCTCCGCATGACGCCTGTCCTCATTCCAGGGACACACACACAGTGCAGCAGCACCACCACATACGCAGCAGCAGGGGGCGATAGAGGCAGCATGCTAGCGAATCGGCAAGGAGGGGGAGGGTTAATTTGGTAAAAGTCATGGCAGACTGACAGTGACATCTACACACTGCGAATGAGGTCACAGACATAAGGGGGTGTGGCCACGGCTCGCACCAGCGTCGCTGATCTGAGGTTCCATAGCAACGTGGATCAGGGGGTGACACTCTGGTTTCACTGGACACTACCAACACTCACGTCAGACTCGACCAGAGGAACCAACCCCCCCCAACACCACCTTATTCCAGAGCACGCTTCCCTGGCTCTGATCACCAAACGTCCTCCCCCCACTGAAAACTTTTAAAAATCAAAAAATAAAAATATGAATATTTACTTTCCACACAGGAGCATTTGGGTTTGGCTGTTCGGTGACCCAGAAATTTCATATTCCAAATGCGGTCTCTGGAGAAGCCAGTCTTCCACAGCGCCGTTAAGATAAAACATCACAGACGATCAGGACACATTAACACCTCCTGACTGACAGGCACTGACTGGCTCGCGTGGGGGGGCGCAAAGGGGGCCTGAACCAGGCATAACGGCCTGCTGGGTTTGCGGTTCTGACTCGGTACGTTCTGTGGCGAGGATGTCGAGCAGTTGCATCTTCATGGAAAAACCACGAAACTCAAATCTGAAGTGGAACTCAGATGATAACAAGGATGCTGAAATGTAAACTGAGATAGAGTGCCCCCTACAGTCCAAACTGCAGACACACAGTGCTCACCCAGAAATCCTAGTGTGATTTACTGTACCCTCCAGAAACAGTAATCTTACAGCTAAAGACCAAAGAAGGTGAAAACCCGGTGGGTGCCTGGGGCACCATGATCTATTGGGACAAAGGACGCTGCCCCTCCGTGACGAATCGGACCCATTAGCACAGAGCGGGGGGTTCTGTTCTGGAGAGAGAACGCTGTCCCACCTCAATACGCCGAGTCAGGAACAGAACAGACTTGGAAGTGTCTGGATTTTCACGTGACCACAGAATCGCCTGCAGAAAATATGGCAAACACATGAGCTGACTTCATGGTATAGCTCCCGTGAAGAAGCAAAGCCTGCGTTCACACTGCATGGAAACATGGGGGGTATTGGGCTGGGGGGTGGCTTATATACACAGGTCAGAAGTTTGTTTGACGCGGACTGACCTGACCTGACATGGGAGACAATTAACTTGGTTCAGAAAAAGCAGAAAACAAGCCTGCGGAATGGAGACCCAACCAAGTGGGGGCAGGGGGGGGGGGGGGCTCGCACCGTGAGCAGTTTTAATGGCCTTGGCCGGACACCCGTCCCGGCAGCGCGGCCTCCAGCTGGCACCGGCCTTGTCCGCAGACCGCGAGCCAAACCCCCACGGCCCACGGTGGGGGGATGGGGGGGCGGGGACCTGGCGTGGGGCTCCTGGCCTGACGTCAAACAGCGGCTCCTGGGGGGCTCACACGTCTCCTCGTAAAACAGTGTGGAGGGCCTGGAGCTCGACCTCACAGGAACCCAAATGAGACCACCCCCCCCCCTCAATGAACAGCTCAGAGCAGAAAGACAGCCCCCCAGCACACAGAAGAGCCTGTTGTGCTGATACGGTCAGGGGGAGGATGACTTCTTGGTGGTCTATAAATTTATGAGGAAGACCCTCCCCAGATCAAACAGGAATCCCAGTCATGGCAGAAGTAACAAAGTGCACGTCTACATCAGCTAAGCCCCCTCCCTACTCTGTCTCACACCCCCCGACCCTCCCGATCATCTCGGAGGGGGTATCGCTAAGCGTGCCGCATCTGTCAGTCTCTCTCAGAGACACAGCAGAGCTCTCGGCACCCTGAACATAGAGGACGGCGCCGCCCCCAGGCATCATCACTACTCACATATCCTCAGGGGTCCAGTGGAGCAGAACCTTCACCTTCCCAGAATCCTCCTTTCGCCTGGCTATGACCTGGATGGAAAAGATGAGAAACGGACAACGTGAAACACAGGAACCTGGTAACGCAGAAATACCAGGCAACCCTGACCTCCCCAGGGCAACCCTGACCACCCCAGGGCAACCCTAACCTGCACCTTCACCTGGAACGCTTCCACGGGGAAAAGCAGTCAAGCTGAACACAGTGAGCTTCCCAATGATTTTGATGGGGCAGAAAAGGCTGGATAGAGAAGGCCATTAAACCATTAACCACAGTGCCCAAAAGCACCCGGATTGGGCCAGGCAGGCTGAGCCGCTCCCGGGCCGGACTCCCGCTGTACATCTTCAACCAAAAGGGGGCGCTGCATATTCCGACAAAATCATGGCAGAGGTGTAACAGATCATCAGCTGGCCATTGCGATTCACCCGACGAGAGGACAGAGGTGCCTTTGTGCACCCCCTCTTCGCCCCCAGATGGGTGAGGAGGGCGGCGTGACGCACAGGATGCCGAAACGCAGCAGCATTTTTATTGAGGACCCTTTATTAGCCGTCTCTGCCAGTGCCTGACGACCGGAGGCCCAAGGAGCAGGACGCATAATAATTTCTTTACGATGTCTGGCTCTGTCCGGGAAACTGGCGAGGAATAGAATCCGTCTGCCCCCTCACCCCCCACTTTCCCCCCCTCCTTAATTCCATGAGGATGGATTGGCTCACTCTCATTGGACAGGCACAGCCAATGGCACCTACTCAACACACCTAGTGGCCCTGCCGTCCGATTGGCCCTTTTTCACCCCCCCCCCCCCTTCAGGGCGGCCATGTTTGTTATTCTGTGGACTCCCGCCCCCTGGTAAGGTGGCGTGTAACCAATTAAATGTGGCACCTGGCACCAAGATGATTAAGGA